ATTGGGCTTCTGAAGTCTTGTCGACAAATTGCATTTAGAGCTTGATTTTAATTCTGATGCACATGTTTGACCTATAGGAAGTCGCTGGAGTTTTGTCTATGTGTCATCTTAAAACTCAGGCCACCAGAGCCTTACTGATCCCTGTCAGGTAAGGCCCAGTGACACGAGTTGGATAGGAGCCAGGCAGAGCCCTGTTCTGTTTCATTAAGCGGCCTGAAAGCGTGCTTTCTGCGACATGTCTAAAGGGGTGAAAAGGCACAAAAAGACAATGTCACAAAACCAAACGAAGAGAGGAAATTCACTGACAACTGACCCTTCTTCCTCAGTGGAGCATGCATCACATGTGGACTGCATTAGCGAAGAATGAAAAGGGAATCCAGATCAGATAAGAAGATGATGAAAAAGTAGGGGGATGGAGCAAAACAACATCTGAAAAGGAGCCGGCATTCTGCAACGCACACACGGTAAAATGTCAGATGATGAGCAAGCAAACAAGAAGGAAAATGCAGAAACACACGGAGAGCCATGGTTAACTAATTCTACCACTGAAGCTACGAAAACCAAAGAGGCACATAAAATCAAACATGATATGCATGAATTATTCCAAAACAAACGTGAGTTCACATTTCTGTTTGTTGAACGAAGCAGAATTAAGCTCTGATTAAAATTAATGTCATGTCAGTAGCCTTTAGTAATGAATGACACTGACTAGATAGTAAATTCTTTCACTAGATTAAGCATTTCCATTATAGGAATTTAGACACAAATTTAAGTGTTTATATTTAATGTATCTAATTAAGCTGGTGATGGATGTTCTTCAATTTGAAAAGTGACTGTATGATGCCCAAATATGAAACAGAAGACTAAGATGGAAATTGTTCAAGTAGCTCCGTCAGCATGCGTAAGCTGAAAAGGAACAAGTAAAGGTTTATTCTATGTTCAAAAGAAAAGAAAAGAAACACAACGTTTCAGCTGTGGAGCCTTCTTTGGGTGCTGAAACGTTGTGTTTTCTTTCTTCTCTTTTCAGCATGGAATAAACCTTTACTTGTTGCTTTACAATGGAAATTTATTGTAATTAAGCAAGTTGTAATCATTTGTGTTTTATTCCATGCTTAATGGAATATAAATTCTAAAAGGCAATATAAAACTTTTACTCATGTTGTTAGCTACAGTACACCCATAAAATAAGAAAAAGAAAAAAAGCATTATTGAAGATTTGTAGTTCTGGCAGTAATGTACTGAATCTCTCAGGAGACGTTCTCTATGGCAGGAACAAATGTTTAACTTTATTATTGTTTTAAGACTGCAATTTGTCTTCATTTCCATCACCTAGGACACAGCTCTAGACTTAGCACCTGCTTATTTAATAAAATAAAATAATAAATAAATAAAATAAAATTAGGTTATTAGTAGTAAATTTCTCTTTCATACAACACATTTAAAATTTTCTGTTGGTCTAAATTATTTTTATAGCTTATGGCACCTTTCTTAGCACATGTAATTTATAAAAAAAACACTCATTTTTTTCACATAAAAATGCCTTAGGTAGACTTAACTGAGATAAGTCACACCCTTATTGGAGAAGTCTGAGACTCTGCCTCACCAGCTGACTATGCCATGAGTACATTCTCAATGAAAACATTAACTGCATATAAGCTACAGGGCATCCAAATATTAAATAGTCTGATACCTTCTTCAAATTTTTAAAGTGTGAGAACATTGAACCACAGGCAATTCAAATGATGCAGCCCCGGAGCAGTCTTCATGAACAAGTGTTGGTTGACTGCACGAGGAATTTCAAGCATCAATATAAAGGTCTGACTACATACTCAGTCCTGGAAGTCTACAGACCTGCTGGTTTTCATTCCAGCCGAGAGCATATACAGTCCCACATCTAACTGAGGTCTTAATTAAACTGACAAATTGCTTAAAAGGAACTTTTGCAATTTACTCAGAAGATGTTTTTACTTACACAATAGGTAAAAGGCAGTTTCCAACAGTAGGAGCTGAATACAGTCAAACAGTGCAGAAAGGTCCTAAGACTAAGTCAGTTAAGGTTTTGCACATTCTCAGGTCCTGCCTTCCATATCAAGTATAGAATGTCTTAGATCATCTTCTCCTATAGACACAGACACATGTATCTTATTCGGTATTATAAATTATTATAATCTGCAGTTGCAAGGTAAACGATTAATTTATAACTAAGACATTTAGCAGAGAGAGGGTAACGTACAGTATAGGTCTATGCATAAGACTAGATTCCTTTCAATTTCCTTAATTTATTCAGAACTCAATTAACACTTCAAAACATAAAGTTAAGTTTGCTTAGAATATAAAGTATAGTGAAACCTAGTCACGATCTGAAAACCCTGACACTAGCCCAGTAGAGGACAAATATAAATACTGCATGAGGCATTCAACAATCAAGTTTGTGGAGTGCTTCACAAAATATTTAGTGTTAAATACCGGTAATAGTACTCAACTCAAACATGCAACAGAAATCGGGGCAGAAAGCTTTCGTAATGAAAACTTACTATGCAATCTACAGCATTTACAAAATATGTTAAATATGTGCACTAAAGTGATTGTTTTACATTATGTTTAATACAAAACAATACTATGGTACTATAATAACAAACTGATCAAGCTGATTTAGAAGTATAAATGTTTGCTTTAAAAGAAAAATAAACAAATTAATTTAAAAAAGCCTATATTGGGCCTTGAACCACCAAGAGAATCTGCGTTAATCACATGCATACTAACACAATAAAAAAAAAATTATGTTTCGTCTTGATTATAATACTGACGCCAAGCAGTTGCAAGACACTGCAACATTGTCAAGGCTTAGTGAAACAAGACATGCACTCTGGGAATGTTGTGAGCAAGAACATCACAATATGAAGTTGCTCGGACATTCAGGGTTCATTCATATCCCATCACCAGACTCCAGCAGTGCAAGCGACTGACAGGAGCACCCTTCACTGACCCCTACTAGTTCAACTGTGTGTAATCACCTAGGAGAGACCACCTGAGGGATCACTTCCACAAAAAAACAACTACAGCTGCTAACACAATCCTGCTTCACAAAAGACCCATAAGGCCGATTACAGTCATTGGATGACTCAGAGCTGCCAGTATCCAGCATGCCTGCAAAGTTAACATCATAACTCAACATTGCCAGGCTGAACAACTGAATGTGCATCAGCTTGGAACACAACTCCCTGGATACTGGTAAAAGGTTTTTTATAATGAAGATTGGTTCTTCTATAATGTCTCATCTGATTTTATCAGAGCATGTGTATGCCGGAGAAATCTGAAAAAACTCACTCTGTAACAAAGAGATGTCATTGTGTTTGCGGCAGCAGGAAAATAAAATAGGGAAACATTAATGAAAGCAAAATAATTTTGAATGCTCCTTGGTCTTGGTTGACTTGAAATTCAATATTCATCTGAGGAAGTCATAGAGACAAATGCTTTTACTCCTTTCATCCATTTTCTAGCCACTTAATCAATCCCAGCAAGCAATGGGAGCAAGGCAGTATACACCCAGGACAGGACACCAGTCCATCACAAAGCACACATACACACAGACAGGCACACACTCACACCAGGCCCAATTTTCCTAAAAGCCAAAAAACCTACCAGTATGTCTTTGCACTGTGGGAGTACACCAGAGTACCTGGAGGGGTCTGAGAGAAAACACGTAAACTCCACCCCAGGAACCCAGAGCTCCAGTGCTGCAATTTTAGTGTTAATCACTACGTCACAATGCTGCCCTACACTAACTTTAATAATAAAACTATTAATTTGCACATGATCTCATAGCAAAGGGGTGGAATATTTATAATATTTTAATGATTAATTTGAAAGTCTGGTTTGTTTACATAACACCTGTGTTTTTGCCTTTATCAGTTAGTGGTAAATTTAGATCACAAAGATTCTAAATACTATTTGAAATTGACATGATTGCAAGCTCATACAGTAACAATATGTGGAGACTTTTCAGGGGGGATTTGCAAAGCATTACAATTGCATTGTGTTGACTCCTTAATCATTCAATACAAATAAGCTCTTGTTAAACCAGGAAACTGTACCACTGGTACTGCAGAGCCACATTGCCTTCTGCTGTTCATTCTACTTGAGCTCTGAATGACTCAATCAACTGCCTACAGTAATTAGGAGAGATTAGCATGCTTTCTAGATGCTCATTGCCCACTTAAGGCTGTGGGACTGTGGCTCTCCAAGACCAGGGATGCAGACATCTGCTCTATACTGTCCATGTCAATGGTGATTTCTTGCTTTAACTTAAAATCAATGTGAGTGGTCTACTGTATTGCAGCATGTGAATCCCATGAGAGGCCTGTGTGAGGAAATGGAGAGATGAGAACATCAAAATCGAGCAGCACCAAGGCAGCATGGATAATCATACTTTACAGGTTAAATGCAGGAACATCCCTTTGACCTTAGTGCAATGTCTCTCTAACTCATGTTCAAAGTAATGATAGTGAGCACACCGTATAAATCAAACATGCCTAACTCTAATGCACACGTAAGGAATGCGACATTTGAAGGTGTGTTTTATGCAATTTTTTTACACATGGCAAAATTATGTCGAAACCAAATCTTAACTTTATACCATTTAATGCTTACTTTGAATCTCCCTTTTAGTGAGTTTCAGTATACTGTATTTGTACATTTAAAATATCCTTGCACATTCCTTTCGGTGCTCGTTTAGTTTGGTTTTCTAATTGAAAACATTCGGAAAGTGATATTTTTCACAAATCTGGCCATTACTATACATATAACATCACAAATGGCTGTGGTGATACAATTTAACAATGTCTTGATTTTAGTCCAAGGCTTCTGGCAGCTGACAGCCCCCAAAGAACACCTTTTCATCGTGAAAATCCCTCAGTCGAAATGTCCCTGCTTTCCCCCAACGAGGCTCTCAATGTAAATGGGAAATGCTGTATGTATTAAACAATGCATGGTTTACTTACAGCACTTTAAGATTGAAAAGGCCAGAAAATGCCCCCTTAGGGATGTGCATCAAGTCATTTCCTGCAAGACGCCTGTAGGGGGAAGAAGAAAAAATGGAATACATTTTTTGTCATGTGGATTTAATTTAACTGAGAAGAAAAGCTAAACAGATACAGTTAACAATAGGTGCCAACAGCTGTAAGGACTCTGAAACCTTTTTCTCTCTCAGAGTTTCTTTAGGAAAAACAGTGCCAGCATATTAAACCAACTAGAGTCTATATACTTTAAAGGGGGAAAGGGAAATTTAAAAGGGGAAAATACTTACTAGCATAGCTGTCGTTTTTGTGTTTATTAAATGAAAAACAATATTTAAAACAATAATCAAAATGTTTACATAAATACGTTAAAATACCTTAAACTGGTTAAATACAAAATACTTTTTGAGTACAGTACAAGAAGCATTCAAAAGTGTTTATGTAGCATATTTTAAGATTCTTCAGTTCAAGATTAATAATTAACTTATTTGACATGAGAAAAGCAGCTTTCTGATTTGCAGTTTTTATTGTGGTTTGTCAACAAATAAAATGGACTTCTTATAACCTTCTGCTAATAGCATTTGACAGCTGTTGATTTTTAATAGATCTCTTAGTGCGGTTTTACACCTGGCAAAAATACATTAGTAAAAACTGTTGTCTGTAATGTCATGGCAAATCACAGAATAAAATGAACCATCTTTTTCTCTTTTCAGGAAAACAAAGATGATTTGATTGCTTGCATTTTTACAAACAAATCATCAGTAGCCCTTTCACAGTTTATGTGTAGTATTGCAAGCAGCCTGTGTTCAACTAAGGAACTTTCCCATCCAGGAGACTTGGAAGTAAGAAGTAAGTTGGAAATACTGTAAGGAGATTCAGAAAGCATGAAGCTTTCTGAATCTGTTATATAGTATGATATATTAGATTTGCATGAATAATAATTAAGGCAAAATTACTCCCTAATATTATTCAAAAGGGTCACAGTGATCCTATCTGCCTATGCCTATGGACCAGTGCACCAACATTTTAGATTAAAAAATAGCAACATTTGGTGTCATCTTCTGGATGCATTTATATCTATTATACTATCTCATTCTTTAACATAAATTGTGAAAGCAACATAATTATTTGCACCTGCACTGAAAAAAGATGTCATTTATAAGTAATCCTAAGCATCACAGTCCCAAGCTGCAGATATAGTACTTACTGTAGGAGTTAATATATTCCGGCTGACAGCAATAGCAACAACTGAATATTTTGTGAGTTGAAATCAGTCATAGTTATGCAATTTCAGAACCAAATCATGTATAACACAGAGGAATTACCTCAAATGTTCTTGTGTTATTAAGCATATAATGTTCTCATAGGTAATTTATTGTTGTATTTAAATGTATTTGCTGAAATTCTACACACCACACCGCATTAAATCTTTGAAAGAATTCAGACACTTCCTAAACCTGGCCCATTTTGTGAAATGATGCATATATGCATGATACATATATCATTAATCTTAATATTTTATTCAAAACATGAATGATTGAACTGAAGACTTCTGTGGGAAAGATAAGTTACATTAATAAGTGTTAGAAAAAAAACAAATACTGTATGTTGAGAAATCAGTATTCAGGCTTGTGAACTCAACATTCGGTATAAGCATCTTTAGCAGCACTTAAAGCCACAGTTCCTTTTCGGTAAGTCTCTACCAACTTCACACACTGACTGCCCATTTTTCTGATTTACTCAAGATTTCTTTCCAAAGATTTCCTCTAGGATTCAAGTTAAGTCAGGCCTACTCAAGGACTTTCACTTTCATATTCTTCAGCGACTCTACTTTAGCTTTAGCCATTGGATCATTGTTCTGTTGAGAGGTGATTTTTGATCCAGTTTAAGGTCTGAAGCAGGGTTTCCTCTAAGGTTTGCCAGTACTTTGCTATATCTATGTTCCCATCAGTCTTGACAAGCTTCCCAGTCCCCGTTGATGAGAAGCAGAACTATGACATAATGCTGCCACCACCATGCTTGACAGAGGATGTGAGTGATGCTCTGTGTCGTGTTTGCACCACAAATAATGCTTTGTATTTTGACCAAAAAGTTCAAAATTTTGTCTCGTTTGAGCATAAGATCTTTTTTCACGTTTGCAGTATTACAGTATATACTGTAGGTGCTTTGCTACAAATCCTATGGGAATTTGAGATGTTCTTTTTCACTTCTCTCTGTGAAGTGTCTGGGATACTGTTAAGTATTTTCTGCCATTTTAGCCACTGAACTGTTTAACACTTTCAAAGTCGCCATTGGCGTCACAGTTGCATCTCTAACCAGTTTACTCCCTGCTTTATAGTTTGAAGGGACAGCCTGATCTGCGCAGTGTCTGAGGGATTTCCACTTCTTAAGGTTTGACTTCACCATGACTTTAATATGAGACATTAAAGGTCTCTGAAATATATTTATATCCCTTTCCTGGTCTGCGCTGTTATACATCTTTATTCTTGAGTTGTTCTGAAAGAAACCACTTTCAAAGCAACTCAGATGTGAAGCCCTAGTACTGCACACCAGCTGAGGCTGCTCATCTAATCGTGTGGCTCGTAATTTTGTCCTCTGAAATTCCTTTAAATTTTCCACACCAAACGGTTTCAAAACTTACGCAATCATGAAGTTTCCATTCCTCTTCCATATTATCAATTTACTTCTTTTTGTTTTTTATTATTAAACCATAATTGGCCACTTCCAAGTATCATGAGTGCAAACGTTTTTTAAGAAACAAAATGTTGTAACGGTTTGATTAGTTTTTGCATGGCATGGCACCTTAATGAACTGTATCTTAAAACAATAAATAGATATAGCACACTTTATATAGGATTGTGCTGCTTCAGTATTGACAAACGGTCATCCCTGTAGGTATAAAACTCCTGATTTCAAGCTTCCCCGGATTGATTCCCTGTTAAATTAAAATTTAATTTTAAACTTCAGCTGATTACTGTACATTACATTGTCATTCAGCTGCATTCCAACTCAAAGACTCACTTTATATTTATAACATACCTATAGCAGACTCTGTAGTCTAAAGACACTTGACCCTTCTTATTAAAACAGAACTGCTTTATTATTAGAGATTCAAGACATTTTTCTTTATTGACCCTCTATAGGGAGCCAAGGTTTCACATTTTGGACTCTACACGTCTTTCTGTCCTTCTTGGAATCACTTATGCATGGAGCACAGGCTATGCCTTGGAGCTCCTTATCAGACGGTTGTAGGCTCAAGCCCCTGAGTGTCCACACTTTGTTTGAAGCTGTTGAAGAACAGATAACAGACTGAGTGGACTAAGAACAGTGACTCGACATTTAGATACTTATTATATCTGTGTATATTTAGAACTGTTGCATCCTGTTTCTAAATGGAACACTTGTACATTATTGATTGTGAGCAATGTGTTCATTTAAGAGACCTCTGATCATTCAGTACTGACAAATAATTAAATGTTGGAACCTAAATGAATTTAACCGATCACCTGCTTAATTGATCACAGAGAAATTGTTATATGTCTTTTAATAATTGGTGATTTAATGGTGACTTACAAAACCTGAACTGAGGCTCTCCAGAACCAAGGGACCCTTGAATTAGAGAATGCAAATTAAGTTTATAAGTTCACACTCATTTTTACCAACATAATTCCAAAATTTTTCCCTGACTTTTTCATAACTTCTTTTCCTGCATAATTTACATCTCGAACGTCCTGGGTCTTCATCTTTTAGGAGCCATAACTTGTATTTTTCATCTGCTTACCAGAGGTCAGTGAAAACACATATACCCGGCATTTTGACATGGGCGCTAGGCTAGCTTATGGCTCACTATAAAATTTCCGCGAGAGGGTCAGACGCGACACTATAATGTGTAATGGTAGCAATGGCAACGCCACAGCCTCTTTTTAAAAGTTTGCTAACTTATGAACAAAATTACATGATACAGCCATGATAATTTGGGGTCAATACCAAAAAAAAAATCCATCACTTTTCCAAAACTTAATGGGTATTTGATCATTTTTCAAAACTTTTCCAGGTCTGGAAAATGAAATTTCATTTTCCATAACTTTTCCAGGATCTCCATGACCGTGGGAACCCTGTGCACCAGAAAAGGGCAGTGAAGTGGTATTGTGATTAGCATTACTGGGGCCCTTTGGGTCCGGGGCTCAATTCCTGGGGTGGAGTTTGTATGTTCACCCGTTGATCATGTGGGTTTTCTCCCACAGTCCAAAGACATACTGGTAGGTTAATTGGCTTCTGTTAAGAAATTGCACTGGTGTGTGCGTGTGTGTGTCAGTGTGTGCTCTGAGATCGACTGATGTCCAGTGCAGGGAGTATCCCTCCTTGCTTGCCAGATTAAGCTTTGGCATCCACCATAACCTTGTACTGCATCAAGCGGTTAGAAAACCAAGAGGTGAACGGAAGAATGCACAGGAAAGAAAAACATTCCCCAATTTTGTCACAAGGCAAAACAGATTTCCGTTGCCACATGTTTTTGATGCAAACATAACACATTACGTTGACAAATCTCAGAAATATTTCACAACAGGTTAAACAGCAAAGGTTCTGTATGTTTTTATTTTTTGATGTTTTTTTTTTAAACTTATTTCTGTCCTGCTATACATTATGGCTTTCATTTGCTCCTGAAACTGAGGGACAGGACTCACTGAAGAAAGTGCAATATCACAGAGATCTGACAATGATTAAATGTACTTTAATATTCTGCTTTAGGGACTTAAGGGAAATACAGAAAAATGCATTCTTCTTCCAAGATCTTTCAGCACCACATTTACTTTGCACAGTAGTTTACCAGGATCGAGGCAGATGCAACTTGAATCTTCCAAACGAGAGGTTTCTGGGCCTCACACAATTTAGATTCCTCATATTGTCAGGAGCTCAGAAACAGTGAGACCATGTTGCCTCCAAATCCCACCTTGCAAGTTAATATTCTATAGTGGGATGAAAACCTGTGACACACAAGTGTCAAATATCAGTACAATAAGTAAAGACAAAGAGAGATATCCAAAAATGTGATACTTTCACATTACAAGGTCACCATGAGGTACCTCCTGGTGTGCAATACCATGAGGAATGGTGCAATACATTACTGAACAAGGAAAGAAAGAGCTGACTTTCACTGACTGTGTGACCCACAAAGCAAAAGGCCAAAAACCAGTTTAATGCAAATTATGAAAAACAAAAGACAACAAAATTGAAACCTTTAACTCAATCTCAACGATTAAGCAAGGAAAATTCAAATAAAAAGTTGAAACCAAAAAACGTCTATCTTTTGATATTTCTAGCGAGAGTTAAAAATACAACACACATTTCAGCTGTAGTTTCCAGAATATTATTCAAAACCTGTGGTAAATAAAAAAAGTTTGGAGACGTTTTTTTTTTTCTCTTTTCATTCCTGACAATGAGATCTGAATTTCAAAACATAAAACAGAGATTCAGAGTGTGGCCTTAGATTAAGGGGTTAGTATCCAGAAAGAAGAGATGTCAGATCTGTACACAAGCACCTACATCTACATCACAAACAGATGTGTGGAATATACAGGTGGTCCCAGGACGCCCAGCTGGATGTTGCTTTTTGCTCTTACATTGATAAATCAAGGAACATGACGTACAACTACCCCGCATTAACATCCTTTCTCAAGGCACCGAAAGCCAGCAGCATAGGTGGTTCATGGATTGAACCAGAAATGAAAAAAAAAATTATGAAAAGCAAAGTCTAATATTTGAAAATTCTTCTTGTAGACAATGCTGCTGCATATGACTTACAATATGAATCATTATGGCCCAACATTAACATTGAGTCCTTACCACCACGCAATACAGTACGTCACTGACCCGACCAATGGATCAAGGTTTGATCACTGACTTTTAATGCGTAATTAGTGTGTGGAAAAATAATCTTGTGTTGGTTTCGACGAGACCACAATTCTTAAGGAGCAGTGATGCTACACTGTCTATTTCTATTTATTGTTTTTTTATGTTTTTTTTTTCAGAATTACATTAAATGTATATACCCATGTCTGAATTGTACAATGGGAACGTGCAAGCTAATAACTAATCAGGACTTTCTGGTCCCTCACCCCAATATATTTTGAGGTACAGTTTGTGTATGCAAACGGATAACTAATTATGAGGAGGAGGATAAGAACTGGATGATTAACAAATGGTTAATTAATAGGATACATCTCACATTTAGCATAAGCAATCACTTATTTATCGAACGAGACCAAACAAAAAATAATGATTATTTCATCCGAGTGCAAGAGAAATCTAAGACGAAACTTATCATGACAGAACACTGATTTAAATCCTACAAATGACTTGAATGAGAGGAAATAATACTTGCAAACCTTTTACAATATAAAAGGTCTCATGGCAAAAAGTTAAAATTATTCATTATAGTCTACTGATATGTAAGCACGTTACAAGAAAGGTTACAAGTAAGAGAAGCTCATTTGCCCCATTGACCCTATTTGGTTGTTAGCATCTAATTGATCCAAGGATCTCATTCAGCTTGAATACTGCATTAACAACAAAGCTTCTTGGCTTCTTCTACACCACCACAACCTTTTGGGCAAAGAAGTGTCTCCTGTTCTCCTATCACTTAGCTTCCACTTGTGCCCTCTGGTTCGTGTTTCACTTTTCATTCTGACACCTCTTTCTATATACAGTACGTGGTCCTCTAGCTTAGTTCTAAGAATTGTTTCCATTACATTACATAAAACAGAAATCGAACTTATCGGTCTGTAATCACTTTGCCGATTGTTATACCCTTCTTCTGGACGGGTGCTACATTAGCAGTTTTCCGCTCTGTGGGTTCTTACTTTGTCCTGAGCGACTGTCGGAGGACTTCTGAACCACATCTCATTTCCTCAAATACAGTTAGTAAGGTACAATTGGACCCAGGGGATTCATTAAACTTCTGTGATTCTAGTACCTGAAAGACTATGCTAATACACAATGCAGACCTATCTAATGTTCAAAGAACTCTAGCAAGTTAAACAAGACCTTTTCTTACTAAATCCATGATGACTGTTTCTTAAAATTCCTTTGTTTTCTAAGTATTCTTCCAATTGATCAATCAATCAATAACTGACTGGTCTGGTGTTTCCTGGTTCAGTTCCGTCGTCCTGTTTTGGGATTGGTGTTACTTTTGCAATTTTCCAGTCCCGTGAGTACTACTCCCATTCTACAGTAAGTGAGGGTAAAAACATTCTGGCTAGGCATCTACAAATAACATTCCTTGTTTCCTTAACTAGGACTGGGAAAATACAACCAGGCTGCAGTGATTTATTCATTTTTCACTGTCGTAGCCCCTCTAGAACCTCAGTAAGACTAAAATTACCCAGTACTCCTGGAGCTATAACATGGGGGCCTGGGGCATGTTATAAACATCTTTTAATGTAAACACCTGTTGGAAATATTCATTAAGTATGTTAATTATATCTTTATTGTCTTATTTTAGAAATCTCTTGTTTTCTTGCAAACTACTCCCATATCTACTCCCTCTCATTTTTTATAAAAATGTTATTTCATGTATATTGTTTCAGTTAAATAGAGAGCTCTTTCGGCAAAGTTTAACCAGGAATGAGCATTTCTGTGATCAATTATTTATTGTCAACCAATTCGGCCCCCTCTTTTGTTTCTCGTTAGCATAGTTTTTCTATAAACATAAAAGTACATAAATTATATTTGGAATTAATCCCAGAACTGGGCCTTGTTAATATTTTTTTGTTTCATTTGTTGTTGTTTTTTATAAAAGGTTAACTTTTTCTTGGAAAATGGTAACAGTTACGTCACACCTGCATGAGCTGGACTAGTGGAATTTATTCTTTTTTTTTCTGCAAAACCTCATTTTCAGGAACAGGTGTTATCTGAAACAGTCTCAAAAGTGATTCATATGGTCTTCTAATTAAGAGCTGAATAAAGCTGTTGGTATCCTATTTTATTCCAGATTGGAATTGCCTTTGCTTGCTCAGCAATGAACACAAAGTTAAAAAAGACCTGCTCTGAGTACACTGAGCTTTTGTGCTTTAACCTGTGCTTGTCCCCGGTGAAAGGAAAACGGATATGACACACAGCAGAAGAAAAATATAAATTAATTGAAAAAAGAGACTTGGCAGTTTACTTTCTTCTTCTATCTACAACTGCCAATCTTAGCAGATTTACAACTGTTATGAGTCTTTTGTAGTCCCTTATTTTATTTATGTGGTGCTTTACCACACTGCAAGGGGAAATCCATGGTATCCCATTCATAGCTGGAGAGTGTGCTACCGCTGCCTAGCATATCTTTCCTCAGTGTTCGCCACAGTATGAGGAATAAACACAACACACCACACCTCAGAAGAGCTGAGAAGGCCTTTTCCACTTCCTCCTCACACCTGCTTGACAACCATCAACTCTGCAACGTTGTTTATTTCAATCAATCCTGTTTCACTCAAAGCCTGTGAAAAACGGACGGAAACGTTCTAGAAGTTTCCAGCAGAACACACTCAGGAAAACACAAGAGCTTCCGAGGTTTTTCGTTTTCTGTGGTATCCACGGGGGCTGTCACATTTCATAAACCAAAATGAACATGTATTTCATTCACTGCTTTGAGATCTGTTCTTTCATTCTGTTCTAACTTCTTCCATCGATCACATCAATTGCCCCAGAGCCTGCCCTATGCTTCAGCAGGGTTGAACACTAAGATTCACTAAGCTGCATTCTCACCTTTTCACAGTCGGGGTAGGGCGGGGGCTGGTTGGCTGCCTTGGCCTTGCTACCCCACACTGAGGGAGGACAGGGCTGTCGAAAAAGACACAGTCCCTCCGTACCTTGTGATACAATATGCACACATCAAAGTGGCAAAACCACTGAAAAGAAGTAATTCCAAAGTGTTGAAGTATGCACATTTGGCAGTGCCTCAGTTTTAGCGCAGATAAGGGCACACATTCTCCGGCGGCAAAGTATCTGAAATGCTCTGACTGCAGTTATAGCACCAAGTCTACTTTGATTTCTTCCAAACTCTCTCTCGCAGCAGAGCAGGGTGGTTGTTTGACCCCTGCAACACTGAGCGCAGTGCTGGAGGTGTGACTGAGGTGATGACACGTGGTTTGCTCAAGCTTTGCAGTAATTCAAAGCAAGTGCAGTATGTTCAAAGCCACTGAGGTTGAAAGGACCTCAGTAGTTTGAATTAAACACTGGATTTTAATTTGTTTTGGGTTTTTTTGGGACAGGAGGAGTCTTCAATGAATAACATAGAGAGCCTGTGCTGCAGCCTCTTTGCTTGTAGTTTTCGCACTTTTTTGGTTTTGAATACTGAATCTACTTTGTCTTTGAAGCGGAATGTGAGCTAGCAATTCAGAATTTGACATCCACTGCATTTTGGATCAGCTCCTACAAAGACAGCACAAGACAAATGACAGCCCGTCGTTTTATAAAGAAAAAGAGAAATAGGGGTCTAATTTTAAAATGTCCAGTATACTGTAACTCCCGTCTTGTGAGGCTGCCTAGGCCCTGTTTCAGTTCTGCATCAGGATTCCAAGGCAACTGTTTATTCTCAGTCACTAGCTTTGTTTGTGCCAAGAGTACCAGCTCTGACGGCCTTCTGCTTTTGTTTTATCTGGTTCCCACAGCAAGTATGTGATATAAAAATAGGAATGTGCCTCGACTTTCTTGCCCAGTTCCCCCCTCATCCCCAGGGCAGTCATACTTACAGCTCTTCTAGGAAGTGAAGGTTTGAAAGGGCACTAGCAGGGAGCTGGGTGATGTTGTTCATGCTGAGATCGCTACGGGAGAACAGAAAGAGAGTGTTAATATGACATGCCACAACTGCGCTTTCCAGCTGTTCATTCCACAGATTGCTAAGTAATACTTCCTGGTAAAGGGGGAAAAAAAGGAACAACAGCTTTCCCTCGCCCGGGGTTATGAATGACAGAAATCATGTGGCATAATCATACATTTCCATAGTGTGTGCATGTAAAGAAGGTGGGTCAGGGGAGTGGTGGTGGTGTTGGGTTGTGTGTGTGTATGTGGTGGGGGAGGTGTTAAATGCAGATAATGTACAAAATTTCAGTACTGATGTTAGCGGGAGGTTTCGGCCTCCACATGAAGGGCTTCAGCTAAGCAGCTGCAAGTGCAGTGTGGGTTTTCTCTGGGTGCTTCAGTTTCCTCCCACCTCCCAAAGACATGTTGGTGCTTGGTTTCACTGGTGCCTCTAAGTTGTCCCTGTGTGCCCTGTAATCGACTCGTGCCCTGTATGGAGTGCAGTTCTGCCTTGTGCAGCACTCGAGGTTGTCACAACCCTTATGAAGATTTAGCAGCTTATATGAGGATAGATGTACAGTACTGTAACCAAAAAAGAATTGCAAAATCATTCTTTTTGTAGGGGAACCATCTGCACATGAGAAATAAATCTCTCTTCCATTACGCACACACACAAAACATCAAAAGTCACAGAACAAATTTCGCAGAAAAAAATCAGACCCTTTAAAAATGGCAAAGATACCATATGTGTCTGAAATAACGGCACATATTGTGGAGCAGGGATGGGCACTCCTGGTCCTGGAGGGACAGTGTGTCAGCAGGTTTTCATTTCAGCGCAGATCTTAACGACCTAGATCAGCTCATTATTGGCTTAATGGGAACAATTTAACAACTTCCCAGAACTTCAGGTGCTGTTGCGGCTTTGAAGAGACTCAGAAAACCTGCAGACAAATCAGCCCTCCAGGACCAAGACTGAACATCAGTGCTTTAAAAGGCAATGTGTTTAAATTCAAAATAACAGTGGATAGTTCGGAGGGAAGGAGAACAAACAGTAACGAACAGTGGGCAGCTTTCATGATGGCAGCATGGAGGACCGTTCAGGGCTGTGGAGAAATGTGTTGATGTTTCTGGCTTCACTAAGGATTCAAAACAAAACAAATTGCATACCATTAGGGTATGTAATGAAAATAAGACTAAAGATTGTGCTTTTGATTAATTATCAGTTTTATCCAAAACAACTTACATTTGTACCAGTTTATAGAAAAGATTAATGAGCACAATGAGAATGAAGTATCACTGCCCCACATAGGATTTAAACCTACAGTACAGTACAACCTTCTAATTACATGTGAAAAGCCCTTACCACTACTCTGTTATCATTAATCCAGTTTTCTTCACTCCACTCTAGTTGCTAGATTCACAAATCTCTGCAGGTAGCTGTAACATTTCCTGTGTTATACCTTGCAGGCCAAATTATCAATGACAAGATGTGTAACTGTGAAAGGTCTAAGTGTTGCTTGATAATATCCTCATAGAATACTTGCATATTACATTTGTTGGTTTCTCTTCCATTAGTTATTGTATAGGCCACCTTTAATTCCAATGGCACGTAACAGTTTGGGAGGAAGGTTAGAACCTAATCTCAGCTATTGCTGCTCTCCTATATTAATATACACACCTTGCCTTCTGAACTTCTCTTTGCACACATCTCTTGCAAATTTCCACCACCCCATCGACACCCTTGCAGCAGCTCCCTGGCTCATTCCACGCAAAAGTTTAGGCAGAGTTTAGTCAGACTCATTCTTTCAGTCAGGTTGCTGTTCTCTCACAACAAATAACCTCCTATACATTTGTCACTCTGTCGGATTAATTAGTATCTAGCTAGGTTAATCAAATAGGAACTGGCACTGCTGGGATCTGTTGTCTAAACCTTATCAGCATCTTTCTAGCCTTAGTAAATGAGGTTTTCAAGATGGTCAAAAACAATAATTTGAAAGTGGAAATGGGGTTTTAAGTGATGTTACAATTACACAGAAAAAGAGCCGCAAAATGTCTATAAAGAAAGCAGCGGAGTAGATGTCCATATGTACAAACTAAAAAGGTTACGATGACTCTCAAACTAAAATATTTACAGTTGCTCTCAAAATAAAAAATAAACTTTCCTTTCGTTCTCTGTGATCTTTTCAGCCACATACTGTACTTAAAATATTTTTGTTCAAAGAACAAAGCATAAGCAGGCAGCTTCCTTTTAAATTTTAAATTGTTTTTCTTCCTGAATTAATTTTATTAACAATTCAAGTCACTCTGACCTGCTTCTTTTCATGTTTCTCTAAAACTAAGACCTTAAAAACTGTAAGTGGTGTATTAAGGAATCAAACTGTGAAGAAAAAATGTACTTAATTTTTTGTAAGTCATAACAAGCGGCCAAATTTATAGGTAAACATAATGTTCTTAATCATATACATGAATAACCACATACAGATAATAAGCTCAAGTAAATGCCAATCACCTCCTAACTGGCAGGGTGATAACAGCATCTACTACTGTAGCAAACCTCCTATTTTCTTCTGCTGGTGCAGGTTTAGAAGATAACGCCAATAAATAGAAACAAGTTTTTCAGTAGTGTAGGTAAGGCACAAACCCCAAAAAATACTGTGGTCCACAATAATCAAATTATGCTGATAAACCCTTTTCATTACAGAACTTGAATGAAACAAAAAATAAAAGGAGTTTTTGTTTTCTAATCAGTGTCCTGAATTGCATTAAATATAACAAATTAGCAACAAACCAAGTGTGTAACCCAATCCCACTGTAGAGTAAATGGTCTGGTGGGGTACCAATGAATTTCCTCGTACAGGAAACCGCTAGCAAGCCCTGTCCGGGAAGGAACTTAATCAAATGCTACATGAGGCTTAATTTTAGGTGATTAGATTTAATGGGAGTTTGCAGCAATTTCACAGTCCTTTCCATATCTTTCCCAAGGGTCTAATGTATCACTGCTATTTCTCCTCTGGAAACTGGATTAAAAGTAACAAGAAGGGAGAGGACATCACACTGAGTTATATCTTCAAAGGGACACCTTTTACTGAAACCGGCATCACTACATTCACAGCTCATAAGCGGCATACTAAAAAAGATATCATCCACCATTTGGGGGAAAAAAAAACAAAGAAAGGTTTGTTTCTCTGTCTGGATAAAGTTTAACTGATATGTATCAATATTGTCTAGTTTCTTTGGGGTCTTGTGAATAGCTTACGAGTGGATGGAGCCTTAATGTCTGTAAAAGACACAATAGATAGTATAGTTAAAAAAAACGTTTTTTTAGTTTTAAAGTCTTCCAGTGGCTCTAAGGCTCTAAGGACACAACACAGAACCCCTGGTCGAGGAACTGTAGCAGAGAGACGAATGAATATTTAAATGTAGTCTGTGGAAGTTTACCACAGTGGATCCACAAGGTTGTTTTGCTCTTGCCACAGATTTTCTCCACATTTCGCATTAATCTTTCCACACTTTCAAAATTCTTTCCATTGGCTTTACAGTCCTGTCCCCAAGCTTTGTTACACAGAGACTTTGGTGGCTCCACAAATTACCATAGACCTTAGTAAATGTTTGTATTGGATGTTTACCACGGAAAAAGAACATTACATTATGATAATCAAACATACGAATCCACAGTGAAAACTTGTGGGGAGGCAAAGTTGTGCAAAACTTTCATAAAACCTACAAAGGATATGATTTGCAACAGCATTTTCCAAATATCTGGGCAGTGTCATGTATTAAATACAGTATGTCATTATTCCTCATCTTCAGTTTACTTTAATCAGACAGTAAGTATCATGAGCACACAGCACACAGTCCATATGACAACACCGATAAGGCAAAGCAGAAAACTGTCAAACAAAAGTAGATAAAGTTACTGGTATTCAGCATCAAGGCTCATTAGGAAAATTGGAAAATTGTAGTTTTGGCAACATTTTCTCTCCCAAATCCATTTTTTAATAAAGTGCTTGAAAAAAACACTAGACACAGCATAGTTTTTTTGTGTGTATTTTATGTATTTTGAATATCTAAAATCTTAGATAAAGCTTTGCAAACTTTGGCAGATGCTACATACTGTAATATATGGGTGAATAATTTTATATTGATGGCTGTACCCAACTGGAAGAGGGAGAAAGGTGCTTTGGACTGATATGTAGTTCAATGGCTCCACTGTGAGCTCCTTATGGCTCCATGCCAGTGAAAGATAACAGTGTAGTGTTACACCAGATTGCTGTATGGAGACAAAATCTATGTGTTCAATTACTGGACAGGAAAATAAACAGGAATTATGCAAATAACACAGTGAACAATGCAGGCAGTAGAAGGAAAAATAGAGGTCTTTCGCATATAATCTACTTAAATAATATTTTGTCAGTGCAGTTTTTCACAGAGTAAGAACATATACACTGCATTACTGTATATACACTTTATATTGTATATATCTCAGGATTAATCAAGGAATAAACATGCAATACACAGCATAACATTTGTTAGACTTATTTTAATATCTAAATAATTTAATATTATGTACAGAATGTTTCTAAATATATATATATTACAGAAAATAATATGAATAATTCCCTTTGGTATTTTACAGCACTCAGGACATTTGATTCCACCTTTTTTGTAAATAAAGTCAAAATTGGCAGTCATAGATTTTTCTTATGTTAGACATTTCTTATGAGGATTCACCAGCATGACATACAGTAGCTAACTGTGATCAGTGAATATACCGTATACATCTTACAACAAACACCTTTCAGGTTTGATCGTGTCAAGAGCATGCAGTCTATGAATTTTCAGAATTAACATACAGTTGTGCAATTTTGAGAAGGACAAAACTGTTTCATTTTTACCCACCTTTTACACATACTGTACAAAGTCAGCACTTGCAGTTACCAAACTGTTTCACCATTACTGAAACAGTGCTCATCAATGTGATTACACATTTTTACAAATTACAAATGTTACAAATTACAAAAGG